ATATAAGGTTTGGAAAAAGGGTACAAAAAATTAAATGAGCTGATGATAAATTTTTATTTTATACTGTATTCGTTTGCTAAATAATAATAGTATTATTATTCAAATATTCAATCATTAATAATAATAATAATAATAATAATAATAATAATAATAATAATAATAATAATAATAATAATAATAATAGTTTTAAAAATTCCCATGATATTGATTTTTCATTTGCCAAAATTCATATATAGATTTATAATAATAGTAAAATGATAAGTTTTTTTAATTTAAATAATAATATGTTAAAAAAAAAACGGGACTTTTCCAGGACTTAAATCTGGTCCGGTTCCAAGATATGCCTGCCAGTCACAGGACTGTCCTGAACTGTTTAGGATCGATTAACATCTCTAGTTGTTATTGCGGAAATTTTGTGAAAATTTAGATATGGATATGGATATGGATATATGATTAAGCTGTTTTTATTAAACAACGATATCATTTTTGAATTTTTGCTAAATACTGTAAATAAATAAATATACTGTTAGTGACAAAGTCAACCAGACAATAATCCTTTCTAAAAGAAACTGGGTTAAAATTACCGTTAATGTTATCTATTTGCTACCCTTCACACACAATTTCATCCAACATATCTTGATTTTTCAATTTTATTGATTCTTTCATTTCGGCCATTGATTCTTTCATTTCGGCCATTGATTCTTTCATTTCGGCCATTGATTTATTCATTTCCCTGATTATTTCCTTTTGGGTTTCATCCTTTTGACTTTCATCTATTATTTTACGCAGATAATTAGACATTGACATTTTCATCCCCTCGGCTATTTGATTGTCATCCTCCTTTGGCCTATTATCCATCAATTTGCGCAGGTTACATTGAGTGATTGTTGTCGAAGTAGCCAGAAAGTCATCAGGTGCTGGTTTCTCCTCTGTAAAGAAGGACACATTTCTTGTTAAAGAGAGAACCAGTATAAATATGCATGCCTTGACAAAGTAAAAATCGATTGGCCATTTTAACACAATAAATAATGTTTGTAGAATATTAGGGAGATAAAACCACGCAGGAATAAATAGTATAGGATATTTACAACTATATACTTTATATATTATCCCCATGCCAGAACAAAGTAGTATAAAAAAAATGATTGGTGTAACTGACAATATGCCAAATAATGTAAGGAATATTATACTAAGTGGATCAAACAGATGTCTAGTTGTAATAATAACAATCCAGAATAATGGAATGACTATAGCCGGGAAATATATCAAGAATACTAAGATAGAACCAAAATCAGGATCATCACCAACTTTTTTATTCCTAATTATCGCTCCTAGTGCGCAAATTATATGTAAAACCATGTTTACGCATGAAAATATCTTTATGCCCAACAAATCATCATAGACGAACGAAACTATCAGCGGAATCACCCAAGTGACTATGTTGTATAATAAGTCATCCAGCAATGGCAATAGCACATTTTTGATGGGCCCGGTTTTCCCTGAAACATTGAACAAAACGATAAAGATGACCGGAAAAATTGTGTTAAGCATTGCATCATACACATCCTGCTCAGACTTATAATTTTCGTCGACCATGGGTGCAGCAGTCACAAGTGGAAGGAGTGAAAATAATAACGAAAATAATAATATTGGTGAACCATTAAACAATAACAGTAGTAGTGTTAGTAGTAATAGCAAACCTAAGGATAATTTTCTAAATGGTGATTATCAAATATATCTGACAATGATATAGAGGCTTCTAATGCAACTATTGAATCTATTTCATTAGATGTTTTAATTTACATTCCCGTTCAAGTTCAACCAACTCAAATTGAGCGATTTTATATCAACTATTATTTTTTATATATATGTGAATAAATTATTTGTCTAATAGATTATTTGATAAAAAATTTATCCAAGTTCTTAGATAGTCAAGACTTCCTACCAGCTGACACCACTATCTATTAACTTCTGAATTTCGGGAAGAAGTAATGGTCAAAGAATACATTGGAGGTAAGTATATACTGTGCTTGAAGAAGAGAGTCACGGAAGATTAAGGTGATGGCAAAATATAAATGAGAGAGACTTCTATCCCACGCATCAAAAAAATTATCGTTATGCAAGTTCTGAAGTATACGGAAATGCTATCATAACGGTGATATCTTGTCGCAGTGAGAAAACTATCTATCATTTTGTTATGATCGATTATTTCATCAACGTTATCAACATTTTATCACTATCTGCCATCATTAACAAAGATACTATTTTTTCTTTAGTTTTAAGTACGATCCAAGCCTTGATTGCACTCATTTGTTCTAGATTC